GGGGAGGCCCTGGCACAGGTTGGGCAGAGAAGTTGTGGCTGCCCCTGGATCCCTGGAAGTGTCCAAGGCCAGGTTGGACTAGACTTGAAGCAACCTGGTCTAGTGGAAGGTGTCCCTGCCCATGGGATGGGGCTCCTCTGCTCTGGAGCCAGGCTGGGAGAGCTGGGGGGTTCCCCTGGAGAAGAGAAGGCTCCAGGGAGAGCTGAGAGCCCCTGGCAGGGCCTGAAGGGGCTCCAGGAGAACTGGAGAGGGACTGGGGACAAGGCAGGGAGGGACAGGCCAAGGGGGAATGGCTTCCCACTGCCAAAGGGCAGGGCTAGATGGGATATTGGGAAGGAATTCTTCCCTGAGAGGGTGTTGAGGCCCTGTCCCAGGTTGGTCAGAGAAGCTGTGGCTGCCCCTGGATCCCTGGAAGTGTCCAAGGCCAGGTTGGACTAGACTTGAAGCAACCTGGTCTAGGGAAGGTGTCCCTGCCCATGGCAGGGGGTGGAACTGGATGGTCTTTAAGGTCCTTTCCAGTCCAAACCATTCCATGATTCTGTGACCGATTGTCTGTATTTCTCCTGGAAAAGGAACCCAAGAGCCAGAAAGTGTAAAACGAGTAAAATAATCCTTTCTCTGCTGTTGCAGAGGTAAATTTTTGACCTCCCTGCTGCAGGTTTTCCAGCTGAAAAGGGTGCCAATGGTTGAGGATGGAAGCAGGGATGGATGGTTTATTTAACTGTGCTGACTTGGGTGCCTTCTCCGGGTCAAAGCACCTGGACTGGGTTTCTGGAAGCTGGAGAACACATCACCAAAATGCTCTGTATTGCTTTGCCACAGCCTTTCCTAAGAATTTGCTGTAGCCCAGACCCAGGAGGGGCACCCTGGGCACAGCAGACCTTTAGTTTGGCTTGGTAGTACAGATTTTACTCTTTTGGGACACACTGGTTTCTGTTTCCAAACACGCCTCTTTGTTTATGAGTGGGTCCTACTTAAATCATGGCAGAATAACAAGGCAGGGAAAGGCTTTTGACAGGAATAACTGGAATTCTTGACATCTTCAAGCTCACTCAGGTTAAATACTTTAAATACATTTATTTATGATTGCACAAAGTCAGTATACTTCAAATAATGCAAGTACATTGAATTTAAATTGTTTTATTCATACCGATGCACTGTTGTTGCTTTGCTCCCTTTTTTATTGCTTTTAACGGTGTTTGATTTTCTTTTTCCTTTCCAGTGGTCTCATTGTCCCTGAGAAGGACAGCAATGAAACAGTCCCTGAAGTTGTAGCTACTTCTGGATATGCTCTCCTACATTTCTTCAGTGATGCTGCCTATAACCTCACGGGCTTCAACATCACCTACAAGTGAGTGGCACCCTCCCAAAGCCATGCTGCAGGCGGAGCAAAAGGAGAATTTTCCCTCTTTTCTCACCTTTTTCCCTGAAATCATCACTTGCCCTGAAGTGTGTAATTATGAGCAGACACTTGAAATGAGATTTTTCTCTTTTATTCTGCCCTTTGCAGCAGTCAGTGACTGGGATGTGCTCGACGTTGGCAGCTGTGGGGGTGAATGTTTGCCCCCAAAGGCATCCTCTTATTTATTTTCTGTTATTAAATGGCTTTGATCCTGTTTAATCAACCAGGATTGATGTGTTTTGTGCATGCCTGTGTGTTCTGCAGAGGGAGTTCTGCACAAACACACTTTTCCATCAGCACAGTTTCACTTGGAACACTGGGCTGTACCTGCTCTTGAGGATCCCCCTCCTTGGGATGCTCTTTTTTATTCAGTTTTTGGATTAAATCCCTCAATTCGGCTTCTTTTTAGTCTGGAATGGTTTTGTGTTCTTTCATTCATACTTTAAATATATTATATATTCATATAATATATAAATACATAATATATAATCTACACAAATAAATATTATTTATATTTATATATTATATTTATATCATATAAATATTATATAATTAATATAATATATAAATATACAATATATAAATATTATCTAATTCATATAAAATAAAAGTATATAATATATAAATATTATATAATTTATATAACATATAAATATATAATATATAAATATTTTATAATTCATATAATACCAATTATATAACATATATTATGCTTATATAATATATAAATATGATATAATTTTTATAATATATAAATATATAACATAGAGATATTATATAATTAATATAAAATAAAAATATATAATATATAAATATTATACAATTTATATAATATATAAACATATAATATATAAATATTATATGATTTATATAATATATACAAATATGTACTATATTATGTATACTATAAATATATTATAGGTGGGTGCTTTCTGTTCATTGACATGTTTAGTCCTTGCTGATGAGCTTTTATAAAAGTGATTTTGGGGTTCTGCCTAATTCATCCACTGCTTTTAGAAAGGTCTTAATTTGAAGTCAGTGATCTCAGTGTGGTCACACTCAAGAGATGAAATTTTTTGCTTCCGTGGGGATCACAAGCTTTGAATTTTTCTTGCTCCTACAAATGCAAATGATGTTTGTGCCACACTGGGAGGTTTAATTTGGGGGTTACATGCAGTTCTCACCTTTTTAAAAAAAACAGTCAGCTGCAAAAGCTTTGGTCAGGAGGGACTGTTTTGCAAAAATTGACTTTTTCTTGAAATGAGAAGCTTGTTTTTTTAGCACCAGTCTCAATGCTTTCATCACATAAGCATGTGCTTGATAATCCACATAAAATCAGATTATTTGAGAAACGAGGGACATCCAGCACCCCTTGAAAGCTCCAGAAAAAACAGAAGCCTTCACAAAGATGCTTGAAGCAGAGGAGCTGAAGGGGCAGCGTTTTCCAAGCCTGGCTTATCCTGTAAACCAGGACTCCATCTACTGCCAGCTGTTGGATTTGCACCATGGCACTGAAATACTGTCTTCAAGGATAATATTCCTTTCATTCTTCACTTTCTTGACCATTTTAAACAATTTTTCAGTGCTGTTTCGTGGTCTGGTTTTTAGCTTTCCTCATAGTATTTTTGCAGTGAGTAGATTAAAGGGTGTATTTGTTTCTTTTAACAGTCCTCACAGTTACTACTGGGTGTAGGTACTCAGCAAACACTGTGAAATTATTATAAATTATTATGGTTTTGGACCAGTGACAGAGAGAATAATGGACAGTAATCTCCAGTTATGAGTTATACTGGTTGATACACCAGCAAAAACAGGAGCCTTGGAGGTGAATGTGGCCTCTAAATTTGGATCTTCACCAGGGGTGCCTCTGGTTTTGCCTCAGCTACGCTTGCAGATGTTATAAAATCAGGAAGGATTCGAACCAGGCACATCTTTGGCTTGGGATTCATCTCCAGCGTGTTCCCTTGGTGAGCAGATCCCAGAATAGCACCTGATTGTGAGCACTTTGAGGCTAAATTGCACAGACACCACAACAGCTTCGGGTGCTGATTCAATTCCTCACTCGCTGTTGGGGCGTTTTAGGGCCGTTCATTTGCATTAAAAGTGGCTAAAAATCATATTGATCGTTTTTGCAGAGGAGCTGAGACTTTTAACTCCTGAGGGGAGGGAGCAAATCCCTGCAGGCCCATCCCACCAGGGTCTTGGTTTGGGTGGAACAAACTGTGTTAACATTATTCAGCATCACTCTTTGGTAATAAATCTTGGGAATCTTCTTTCATTACAAATTCTTTTCCCTGCTGTTCCCAGTTTCAATATGTGTCCCAACAACTGCTCTGGCCGGGGGGAGTGCAAACTCAACAGCAGCACCAAGGCCCTGGAATGTGACTGTGCCAAATACTGGAAGGGGGAAGCCTGTGACATTCCCTACTGCACCGAGGACTGTGGGGCTCCTGAGAGGGGCCACTGCAACAGCAATGACTCCAAGGCCTGTCTGTGCTCCCCGGGCTGGCAAGGTGAGTGTCCTGGGGCTTGGAGGGAAGTTCTGGGATGCATTTTCCGTGTGGGGCACTGGCAGATTCATTGGGAGTATGTGGGAATATTCCCAGTGACAAGTGTTAGCGTTTCGACCGGGAACGGAGTATCTGCTTGTTAGTATTAAAAGATCACACTCCATTTGGAAGGTTGGAGCTGCTGGAGAGAGTCCAGAGGAGGCCCCAGAGATGCTGCCAGGGCTGGAGCCCCTCTGCTCTGGAACCAGGCTGGGAGAGCTGGGGGGGTTCCCCTGGAGAAGAGAAGGCTCCAGGGAGAGCTGAGAGCCCCTGGCAGGGCCTAAAGGGGCTCCAGGAGAGCTGGAGAGGGACTGGGGAAGGGAACAAACCCTTCCCCAGCTCTGTTCCCTTCCCTGCA